GGATCCTGAGGCCTGTAGTAGTTTTAGATTTATATCCTTAATTAATGTGGATATTAAGCTATTCGCAAAAATGAATGCTATGTGCCTCAGGTGTTTGTTTTTCATAGGAGTTACACATTAGGTAACGATTAAGGAAAATATATATTTTTGTTAATTTAGGGTTTGAGTACTTAGATTTGACTAAGAAAAATTTTTGCTTAGGTTTTGGGATGGGTTAAAGGTAAGGATATGGAAACAAGTGTTTATGGCATGTGGAGATTGAAGTGTTATTTACTAATTACTCACCCATCTATGTATTCTGTAGTCTTGTCAGCTCCCAATGTTCCTTCTACAAGGCATTTTATGTTTAAGAGGCACTGAGTATCTGTGACATAACTGAGCTGTACACCCTCTATAACTAAGGATACCATATCCACCATGTTTTCCAGGACATATATGATGTATAGAAATTGATGGGCAAGATACAGAAAGTGAAATACTGCAGGTATTAATTCAGGTTATAAATTAATGATGAATCCAGCAGCATATACATTATTTATAACACAGGGGAACATTCTCATGTGCTGTCAGTCAACACGATGAAATTATGTGTTTCCAGGAAAACATGGTGGATATGGCAACCCTAACTATAACTGTTCCTGCAAAGAGATAAAGAGATAATGAGATAAGGCTTGTTATACTTATCTCTCTCCACTTAAGGCTTGTTATGATTATCTCTCCCCACTTAACTCTCCAAAAAGACACATCATACACTGACCAGTCACACCATTAAAACCACCTGCCTGATATTGTGCAGGTCTTGCTCATGCTGCCAAAACAGCTATGATGCATAGAAACATTGACTCCATAACACTTCTGAACATATTATGTGGTATCTGGCACCAAGACCTTAGCTGCAGATTAATTAAGTCCTATACATTGCGAGGTAGGGCTTCCATGGATGGGATGTGTAGTCCCAGCACATCCCACTAATACTCAATTGGATTACAATCTAGGTAATATGGAGGCCACAGAAACACCTTAGACTCTTTGCTTTGTTCCTCAAACAATTTCTGAACAATATTTGCAGTATGGCACATTACATTATCCTGCTGAAAGAAACCACAAGGAACAACATTGCCATGCCAGGGTGCATGTGGTCTGCAACAACCCCTAGGTAGGTGGGAAGTGTCAATGTAACATTCTCATGAATGCCAGGACCCATTTCCCAAAGCATAACACTGCTTCTGCCGGCCTGCCTTCATCCCATAGTACATCCTGCTGCCATCTCTTTCTTAGGTAAACTGTGCACACACACCCAGCCGTCTACCTGATCTAATGAAAACATAATACATTAGTCCATTCAACCTATTTACCATTCCTCTATGGTCCTGTCCTGATGCTCACATCCCCATTAAAGGCACTTTCAATGGTGGACATCATGAGCACTACAGCCACATACTATGATACACTTTGTTTTCTGACACCTTTCTATCATGGCCAGCATTACATTTTTCAGCAATTTGAGCTACAGTAGCTCTTCTGTGTGATTGGACCAGATGGGCTAAAATTAACCTAGGGCACCCATGATCCTGATCCCTGTTCACTGCCTGTCCTTCCTTGCACTCCTTTTGGTAGTTACTAACCACCACAGACCTGGGACATACCATTAGACTTGCGATTTGGAGACCCTCTCCCCAGTCATCTAGTTATTACTATTTGACCCTTGTGAGACACACACACACACACTATGGAATAGATATATATGAATCTCTTACAGATGTGTTGCATTGCTATAATATTGCATCATAAAAACAGTTGAAGGTATTGCTGTTAGAAATGTACCAGACTACACATTTAATTAATCACTTTTTTGAATTTTATAAAGTTCACGTTTTTCCTTTTCATTTCTAGGTTTGCTATATCTTTAAAGTAAAATAAAGTTTCTTTGAAAACAATCTATGTTATAATAACATTATTCTAAAGCACATTTTAAATTGTTGCAGCAGAAACCAAACTAAAGTATGAAAAGTAATAGGATAAATTATGTACTTAAGTGTGACAGCACATATCATTATTGGAAAATACAAGCTATAAGTCATTTGTTCTAATTATTGTAAATTACAGTAGGAAGGTTACCTGCAGTGTAGTAAATTAGAAATGAAATTAATCAATTACATGTAGGAGCCCAGCAGAGAGACAACTTTTTTTTTAATTAAAGCAACATTTTGTTACAACATTTAAAAGAAAAAAAAGTAACTAGCGCTTAACATCATAATAAAATAAATTATGGGAAAAAGAAAAGGTGTGATTTTTTTTTAAAACAAAACATATTTATGGTGTATATTGAGTCATCTAAAATATTATTTTAAATGTTACTGTTTCACAGTTCTGAAACTTGGCTACATTCTATATCTCATTAAAAGCCACCAGTAATTATTAGGATTCTTGCTTCAGCTAGTTTTCACAGTGGAAAATTTGCTCACTTACGTTAAGTTGTAGTGCTTGTCAATTTATCTTGCTAATACATCTAAAAATTAAATCAAGTGTGAAAATACACTGTGGACAACCTGAAGTGTTATACATATGTTTAGTAAATGATCCAGTGAGTCAAAGCGGTGTTAACCCATTGCCTTATGCTCAAGTGCTTTTTTTTTTTTTCATTTACTGTTGTATCCTGTAAGCACAATTACTTTTCGTTGCTCTTGTGACGCAATTTACATTGCTACTTAAGATCTTTCTCAATCTTGGCATGTGTTCCAGAATTTGACTATAGATTTTGGTATAGTCATCTTGTGATGTTATCTTTCCTATACAGTTTTCAGATTCTTTTTAGGCTGTTCTATACAACCTCTAAATTTTACCGCATGACAGGATGCTTAATGTTTGCATAATTTTTCTTTACTTTAAACTCCAGCAGCACAGATCAATCAAAAACTTTTAAACCAATCAGAAACAAGTGTCATTACTATATATAGCCCTGTGGTGCCTTCCACTTCCTCTTTCTTTGCTGCTCCTGCCAGAGTACAGGTCAGAGTATTACTTCATCACTTCTATTACCTATACTGAATTAGACTGTTATCTGTCTCACTGTTTATGTTCAAATCTAGATTGCTCATTGCTTTTCCCACTATCCCTGTTCCTGAACCCTGCCTCTACATCCTCTGCCCGGTCTGACTCCCTGGGTAACCAGGCACTCTGCCCGTGGCCTACTAAAATGCTCACGGGCGGGTTGTTTTGCCAGCTCTGTTCTTCCCTGACAGGCTTTTACCATGTGGCGGGGGAAAGGAAAGGAGTTGTTCCCGGCGGGTCCTCGCATGCCGCGACCATTTTCGATCACAGGCCGCAACGCTCATGACGGCCTTTTTTCCTCATTTCATTTCAGGCAGTTGGACAGCATTTGTGTATTCACCTGAGCGACCTGTGTACACTGAAAGTGCCTTCAGGGATTCTTCCCTGACTGCACTTATAGCAGGAATTCACCTATCACACTAACAGGTAAGGAGTACTTTACATGGATTCTTAAAACTGCTTTTACTGTCTGCATTACACAATGTCATATGCAGGGCTTTACCCTTCAGTACTACCAGGATGAGCCTTTATCACTAAGGGACCAGGGTATTATTAGGTACCACAACCCTTATTGGGAACCCCACTATTGCTGTGTACGGAATAATTTGTTTATCTTCTAACACCTCCCACCAATTCAGCGTCTCACTCCCTGACATATTAGCCACTCACTGTGACCTGTGACCAGTACTGAGAGGTGAACTCTCACACTATAATTGGGTCTATCTAACTTGTGGTGAGTAGCTGGTGCATCGCCTCAATTGTACTAGCAGGGGAATCCCGTCAGACTACTCTGTCTGCACGAATACTAATCTATGTCCTCTCCTCCACAGGACACCAGGATAAGTGACATACCACCACAGACCCAGGACTTCCAGTCCATGGTTAACACTGCAGTGGCAGCATCTGTGGAGAAACCCTATCAAAAATGCTCACCGAACCTCCTCTGGAGGTAATCCCTTTTTCCTCAGACGCATCCCCAACGCAGTGCGAGGATGCAGGAGGTTCTGAAAGATCGATTCAGGATGCACATCCCATACCTAAACGCCACAAGACAGGCGCACCGACCTTGGCCAGACCTAAGGTGAAGGAAGCAGCAAAACGCAACAAATGGGTGGTGAGGCCATCCTCCGGGGATGATGATGACTACCCTCAGGCTCTAGATACCCTAGATGAGTGGATCCGCATCTAATGATGGGGACGATTGGCACGACCTGCCCCCCCCATGACTCTAAATATGAGTCTGGTTCTTTCATGGGTGCCCCCTCTCCACAGGGGTTGTCACATCAGAATTCAACCAAACTGTGGTCATGTTCACGGGACCCCAGAAAAGGACCTGAGAGAGGCCTGAAGGCCACGCAAGACAAGCTACTCGACATCCTGGGACTTTTGGTGAAGATCCTATACGTCACAGACTTGGCTTTGATTCAAGGCTCACAGCTGGACCCTAATGCAGCGTGTGAATGGCCACAATGGTGCATGTGCCTCCTCAGCAACACCAATGTGGCAATCTGCATGAAAATGTAAAATAGATACCACAAAACATATCACACTTGAACAATTCTAATATGACATTCACCTTCACAAGGATTATAAATAAGGTTGTTTTAAAATTATGAACACTGATGTCATGCCAATGATGTCATATTGTTTCACCAGTCTTATTTTTCAGACACCTTTTTCAGTGCTTCCAATGTGTGCTATCCCACAGATTAAATGAGCTACTGTTACCACTGAACTACTACTCAAGAATATGTAAAAATGTTAATACCTAAGCATGGCTGCATAGTATAATATCCATAAATGTAGATTATGCTAACATAGTGTACCTATAATCTTAATTTTAGTAATGAAATTAATTTGCATAATCTTTCTTTACTAAATTCCAGCAGCACAGATCAATCAAAAACTTTTAAACCAATCAGAAACAAGAGTCATTACTATATATTGCTCTGTGGTGCCTTCCACTTCCTCTTTCTTTGAAGCGAACTAATATTCACATGAACAAGTCCTACAATTCAGGTAATGATGTGGATCCCATGTAATTCCAAGAATCACTTAAACGGCAAGAATGCGAAGGGTAGATCCAATGTATAGTGGCAATATTCACACTGAAAAAAAACAGAAAAAGGTGAAATGTAGCGAAATTAACATTTTATCAATACTTTTAGTGATTGTATCTTAACATATTCATATCCAATCCATAAATATATATGAACATTTATCAACCAACAGGGAATATGCGTAAGCAACAGTGGAAGATGTAAACAAACATAGCAAGACCATGAGAGGGAGAGGAAGGCTGGGAAATATTTGCCTCCTGTCATTACTAAAATTAAGATTATAGGTACACTACGTTAGCATAACCTACAATTTTACCACATGACAGGAGGCTTCATATTTGCATTTTTAACGCTATAAAAGAAGAGCGAAAGAAGCATGAGAAGCAGGACGGAAATTGAAGATTCTAAATGTATCCTCGCGAGATCAGTCAGCCGATAGCATAATGGCCACCGTAAAAGCACCCAACGAAAAAGCGTGTGTAGCCGCTGCCCTGTGTAAGGAGTGTGCTCCAAATGTCGATTCAACACCCGCCAGTGATAGCAACCATCGAACCCATCTAGCGAATATCGTAGTTGAGACCAGAGTATGCGGTTGTACACAGGTTACGAGTAATTGCCCCAAAGGGGAACGTTGAAACGAAGCCGTAACGTCCACATATCGAAGAACAGTCTTAACCACGCAAAGACGGGGCGAAGCAGGAAAAAAAGGATTAAAAAAACAGACTAATTTTTTTTTGTGCGACGTGAAACCGAAAAGGAGACACCCTCCGGTGAGAAGGATAAGTCGTCCACGTCGAAGGCCCTAACATCCGAAATCCTGTGGAAGGAAACCAGACATAGCAGCAAAGTGACCTTTGCCAACAGTTGGCGCAGGGACAACATAGAGTTGTCTGGCCAATTTCGTAGGAAATTCAAGACCAAGTCAATGTCCCAGAACATTGAATACTTCATACCAGGAGGGCAAGACAAGCACATACCTCTCAGGAGTTTGCAAACCAAGGAATGTGTCCACTGCCTCACATTCCAGCTCCGGGAGCCAGCTGAAGAATGTGGGAAGTTGACGGTTTGTCCAAGAAGCAAAGAGGTCTATCCCTGTGCTGTGCTAAAGTCTTGAAGACCTCCCCATCCAGTTGTCAGTCGCTGTTGTCCCTCCAGTGGCGTGTAACAATCCGCAGTGAAGTTGGAGGTCCCCGGGAGGTATTCCGCTCTTAGCGTGGTGTTCCTGGAGAGGCAAAAGGTGTAAATGCCTTTGGATGCCACCGAGAGTGTTTGAGATTGAGCTCCACCAAGGAGGTTGATATACTGCACCGCTGAAATATTGTCCATGAGCATTAGTATACAACAGTTTGATATGTGATTGGTTAGTCTGCAGATGGCGAAGGAGCCCGCTATCAGTTCCAAGCAGTTGATGTGCATCTCTGACTCCTCGTGAAGCCATGAGCCCCCCTTGGAAGAATCTGCACAGTGCTCTCCCTAGCCCCAGAGACTGGTGTCCGATTCTACCACGAAGTCTGGAAAAGGACCAAAGATGGCTTTCCCATTCCAGGCCTGCATATGGAGGAGCCACTAACTGAGTTCCGTGCGTACCTCTGTGTTGATCGGTATCAGCTGGTCGTATGAATAACCTATCCATAAAAAGCGAGCCTTGAGTCATTGCATGGCCCTGTAGTGGAGTGGGCCCGGATATATCTCCTGTATGGAAGCGGAAAGTAGGCCTACTAGTTGTGCCAGGAGTCGTAGAGGGAGGAGTTCTAGTCTTACTACTTTCTGAATTTCCTTCCGGATGGATGTAATCTTCGACAAGGGGAGGCACAGGAGACATGTCGTGGAGTCAATCTCGAACCCCAGGAATTGGACAACTTGAACTGGTGTGAGAGCCAACATTTCCCAGTTCACCACGAATTCCAGTGATTCGATAAATCCGAGATACCAGTAGTGAGGCAGAGTTGCAGAAGATTAGCAAGTTGTCTAGATAGATCAGGCACCATATTCCTAGAGCACGTAGCTATGCCATGACGGGTTTCAGTAGTTTTGTGAAACACCAGGGAGCCGAACTCAGGCCGAATGGTAGGCAGGTGAACTGGCAGGTGGTGCTTCTCCAGCGGAACCACAGGAATCTTTGACAGTCCGGGGGAATAGGAACCGATATATAGGCATCTCTGAGGTCCAGCCATGTGAACCAATCATCCTTCAGCAAGAGATCCGTAGTAGATGGATGCCCTCCATTTCTAAGTGGCGGTAGACGACAAAGGTATTCAGCTGATGCAGGTTGATGACAGGTCAAAATTCGCCTGTCTTCTTTCTTACCAGGAAGATGTTGCTGACAAAACCTCCCTCACTGGGGCCCACTGGACCACGCCTTTGGTGAAAAGCATCTATATCTCTTCATCTGAGGTGTTGTTAAGCCTTGGACAACCGAAAGGGGTGCGTTGGGGGTATTTAAATGAGAGTGGATGAGAACTCGATGGCGTATACCCAAACCGTTTGGAGGATCCAGGCATCCGTCGAAATGTCCCTCCAGTTCTGGAATAAAAGAGACAACCTCCCTGCAGTTAAGGCAATATAAGGGAAACATAAATCGGGACCCACCTGAGGGAAATTAGCCGCGTCTGCTTCTGCAGGAGCCTCTGGACCTGGTAGCCCCTCGATGGTGTGAGGGTTATCGGTTTGGTAGAACGAAGTTGAGGGAGGATTGGGCCTGGGTCTGGAAGACCAATATCTACTGGTGGTATGGCCTCTCTGCCGACCAGCCCTACCAAAAATCACACGGTGTGCTGGTGTGCGAAAGACCTGTCATAGCGATGTCTGGGCTTTGTTGAGAGTTGTAAAAAGAGGCACGTGTTTCTTTAATTCTGTGATTAAAGCGTTGCCAAACAAGAGGCCATTGGCCAAAGCCCACAGTTTGTTGGTGGCCATGTTCATGAGTTTGGCGTCCATTCGCACTAACGCCGCTCTACTAAAATTAAGATTATAGGTACACTATGTTAGCATAATCTACATTTATGGATATTATACTATGCAGCCATGCTTAGGTATTAACATTTTTACATATTCTTGAGTAGCAGTTCAGTGGTAACAGTAGCTCATTTAATCTGTGGGATAGCACACATTGGAAGCACTGAAAAAGGTGTCTGAAAAATAAGACTGGGGAAACAATATGACATCATTGGCATGACATCAGTGTTCATAATTTTAAAACAACCTTATTTATAATCCTTGTGAAGGTGAATGTCATATTAGAATTGTTCAAGTGTGATATGTTTTGTGGTATCTATTTTACATCTAGAGTATAAAATCTAAGCACATTTTAGTGTCTAGAATGGAAACAAGTTGGCAAGAAGTGATTAAGGTCTCTTATTATATATAGGGGATGTTAAAAGTTATTCCAGCTGGGAATTATGAGTCAAAATAAATATGATTTTGGAGAATGGAAACATCTGCTAGTTGCTAACATTAGCAACAACTGCTTTAATGATTAGCAGCTTGTTGGTAATTTCTAATGACAATATTGGAAATGAGACCTTCATTGTCTAATCTTCTGGGTTTATATTCCAATCATAAAAAAAAAAAAAAGGACGTAACTTTTTTTAAATATAATGTAAAATGCCATATAAAAAAGGAAAATTCAAACTGGATTTCCAATCTTTAATATGACAATAAAAAAATAAAAAAACAACAAACAAACAAAAAAACATTGTATGCTGTATAATATTAACTACTGTAAAGGAACACTATGAGCATAACAACTACATTTTATGAGTTACAGACCAGTTTACATATTTTATAAGTAAAATGTGAATAGCTGAAATACAACTTCCAGAAACAACTGCTCTGCCTATACGTCCCTCATATTTTTTGTAATTCATGAAATAATGTCAACACTTTAGAAAAAAAATCAAATAGAAGCATATTAATCCTGATTGGCTGATCACTTCCTCACTTCCTGTCTATTCAAGACCAACTTGTCTTAAATATATAGCCTTGAAATGTATTGCGTGTGCACTAGCTTTAAATGTGGGTGATTTTTTATCTTTCAGAACTGTTTTTTTACATATAGTTTTAAAAGCATTACATATCCAATAGATTAAGAAAGAATGGATCATTTCCATTCTGAAATACCTCTTTAAAACCTTAGTGCGATGACAAATGACGCAACTTGAAACATGCTTCATATTGAATACAAGTAAAACAATATAAATAGTAGTATACACCTTTCCTTATTACTGGTTTAATATCAATATGACTTTTTCTCAATGTTTAGTTAGAAAGTGAATGAAAACTGACTTATTACTCATCGAGTCTGGAATGCTAAGGATATTACGAAATAAATAAAGGTTACAATGGTGCAATAAAAACTGACAAGGCAAAGTGAATAAAAAAATTCAGAAAATAATGTTCTCTTGGGAGATTGCTGAAAACAAAATAGTTACTGTCATCCTGCCAGGTACATGACCTTGTTTTTAGTTTCCTGAAATACTTTGAAGGAGAAGATAAAGCATACTTAGAAGATAAATGAAGGCAAACAAATTGTTGGTTCTGCAAAAAAAAAAAAAAAAAAGTTATGATGAAGTATAATTATTATTGCATTGAGCACAATTTTACTTTCCAAGCAGGAAAATTGATTTAAACAAATATAGGCTTTAGTATAGTTTTGAATGAAAATGTTAATTTAAGACAGATAGATTAGAAAGATAGATAGATAGATAGCTAAACTCATCCAACAAAGAACATAAAATCAGGTGGAAATGATAGCATTGCAAAATAAAGATGTATGGATTTCTATATTTAATTTTATTATTCACATCTCCCAACTATACTGTATACTTGTTAAATATAGGCATACATAATATAAATCTGGAATAATGATAATTTCTCTTTACCTTTTTTTACATTCAACTGCATATTACCAATATTAACACAATCCAAATCCTCCACAATCCAAATCCTCATCTGAGAAGGGGAATGAGAAAGGGAGGTTAACAAAGTGTGGGAATTTAAAAACACAAATAAATGCTAAACAATGTAAGAAGGCAGATAAACTGGTAAAGAATCAATGAGCAAAGGAGGAATGAGGTAGGACACGTGCAGGTGCACTCATAGTGCTAAATCAGTGGAGAGCTGCAATACCTCTTCTCTGCACTCACTACGCCATTCCACTTTCCTCAGCACCACTGAATAT